CGCTTTGCGAAGTCAGTGGTTTCGTGAGAGGTGCCCTTAAACCAGTAAAATAAGACAAGTTCCTCTAGAGATTGTTGAAAAATGAGTACATCACGCTTGACTGATTCTTCTCTCTGTCTCAAAAAAACGTGAATGAAAATTGACCTATTAGGAGGTCTCATAGACCCATCCTGATTATGCTGTGACATTTTTGACCTCATAAACGATGATAATGACATCACTTTTAAGGTAATAACGAACAGTTTTACAATCGATAACTTTAACATTTAAGCTGACATCAATGATAAACCAAGTGTTCAACTGCTCAACACTTGTAGGTGTGCAAGTGCACATCTACCGAGTCGTGCACTTGGAAGTATTCAACTTGCAGTTGCACACTTGCAAGTATTTATCTAGCAGTTGCACACATACAAGTGTTGAACAGTTGAACACTTAGTTTATCAGATGTGTTTTGTTACGTTGAATAACTAACATTTGTGCGTGTTACGGGAAGTAACGGACCCCTGGTGATATTTTTGTTCATTAGGGACCTTTTATTTAATAACTATACACTATTTTTGGCGTGGACGGGGCGCGGGGGGAGCCGACTGCTAAGAGATCAGGGTGTTCATTGCTGGGCTGTCACCCAGACGCGGCCGGAAATGCAACAGGTGGTGTTGAACCATGACGCTCCTGCCCCTTGTCTGGCAGAAACGGGTTCTTTAAAGAATATCCATGCAGATTCGGTTTTTGCAATACTTTGAATATGCAAGTTAGCCCTTTAACGTCGCTCGCAATTCAGACTAATTTTAACTTGTCACTTTTGTTTCCATATTTGTTCCTCACCTGCCTTTATCTGTTCATAGGCGATCCACGCGTAGGCACGACAGCTTTACTGTCGGCCATGTACACGATTTTCTTGCGTGAGCACAACAGGATTGCCAAGGAACTTCACAAGATCAACCCTAACTGGCATGATGAGAGCTTATTTCAAGAGACAAGGAAGATTGTTATGGCAGAGTTCCAGAGCATAACTTACGGAGAATGGTTGCCCTGGCTAATAGGTGAGACAACATGAAAAAATCACGTTAACTTAGAAGCAGATGACTTACACGTTTGGCGTTGAGCTTTTACTCTCAGCCCTCACGTCACCCACTGAAAACTAAGTGCCGCGTTGTGACGCAAAAATTTTGGAGTATTTCTTACGTTACCAAATTTTAGTGACTTTGAACACCAAAATAGACAATGTGACCAAGGAGCAGAGGTCAAATGTTGCAACTGCGCATCATCCCCTACCATTTAGAACTCAAACTGAAAAAGCACGCAGTCCACCCTCCGGTTCCAAGACTAACGCAGTTCAGCCGCGCGCTCCGAAACTCGCCCAGTGCCTATTTCTAGAGCGATAAACTACGTGTATTTCGGAGCGTGCGTCTAAACTGCGATAGTCTTGGAACGGGCGGCTGAACTGCGTGCTTTTCAGAATGCGTGGCTGATTTGCATGTATTTCAGTCTAACAAGGGAAGGTTTTCCGGTGATACAGTTAGATTTCAAATTCAAAGGCACTTTAAAGTGTAGTTGTTAAGGTTTGTTTAGTTAAGGTTTCGCACTGGTTTTATGTGTCCGTATGGAGTTTCAAGGCCATTTTGCGCGAATAAAACGTGGAAATGTTTTATTTGTTGTTGTTGTTTTTTTTTTGTTGTTTTTTTTTTGGGGGGGGGGCTTGCATTTGCCGGATCTAACGCGTTTTCCCTGTCAGAGGACCAGTCTAAAGACAGTGCTTCTCTAAAATGTGCAAAACCAGTTATGTTAAGAAGCCTTTAGAACCAAAACCTTTTCGGCAAGAGCCCATGAACTGTAGGGACGCCACATACGGTAATGACTAATATTCGTCCGGAATTGAACGTATTATTAGCAGATGATACCTTAAAAACCTTTTGACTAAACATAAAGAATATATAAGTAACTTTAAGGTGTCAGCTTGCTTTTACTCTCAATAAGGAATGAGAACCAAGCGGAGACCAGAAAACAATTTATTTGGCGCTAGGGGAATCAGTGAGTGACTGTCCGAGTGTCGCGCTTCAGGCCCCTTCCTCTGCTCAACAATACTGCGTCAGGCAGGTCAGGGCAGGGGGAGAGGGGCCCTGTCCCTGTACAACAATACCAGACAATACTAAGCCACCGACGGCGGCCGCTCTACTCTGCCCCGCCCTTAGCTCATCAACGCCGCTAGTCCGCCGAATTACAAAATTGCAAGTAATAACAAGCAGTCATGAACAAATGACACGTAAAAATGAGAGAAATTTAGAAAACAGACCTATTCTCAAATTTGTATCATCTGCTTTCAAGATAGATTCTTGATTTAGATTTTTTTTTACTGTTGTTGGTTCATACTGAGCCATCGCTTTGCGAAGTCAGTGGTTTCGTGAGAGGTGCCCTTAAACCAGTAAAATAAGACAAGTTCCTCTAGAGATTGTTGAAAAATGAGTACATCACGCTTGACTGATTCTTCTCTCTGTCTCAAAAAAACGTGAATGAAAATTGACCTATTAGGAGGTCTCATAGACCCATCCTGATTATGCTGTGACATTTTTGACCTCATAAACGATGATAATGACATCACTTTTAAGGTAAACAGGCGATGGTAGAGTACGAACTCGGCCCATCCCCAAGTGGCTACAGCAACGGATACCAAGCAAACGTTGATCCAAGAACTGCAAACGACTTCACCGCAGCTGCATTCCGGATATTCCACTCTCTTATTCAGGACAATATATGGTACGTTTTTAACATTACGTAAAGAACATGCAATATTCAGGTATCAGTGGGGTTGAATTTGCTTCCAGGGCATGATCAGCGTTATATAAGTCTAGGTCGACGCATCCCAATGCTAAGCCGCCGGACACAGATTTTTTGCGTTATGGTGAAATATTATTCAGTATGACTCCCAAGCACCATACACAACTTGCAAACGTATGGGAAAAAATGTTTCAGCAAACCAACTCAAGGCTTTCAGCTTTTTCCATTTCGCAGTTTTTATCCAGAATTTCAAACTTAGCTGCATACTTCTTTTGGACCAAAGGAAAATGATATCTGAAGAAGTTTTTGATGCCGATTAAAGATGAGTGCTTGCACGGTAATTGTGGAGAAAAAAAGACGAGAGGAAAGTCCTGCCGAAAGGCCCTTCACCTAACCGGTGCAGTAAATGTATGTAACACAAAAATTGAGTTGATCCATGGAACATCTTTACTTTTTGAGCACTAACTGGCAATATCGGGGGTTTACAGACCGATGTTTCCCCTCTCATCCACCAGTGAAGGAACACATCGTTAGCGTTGGCAAGCGGCTTGTACGTCATGCATAGTGTGTGCCACGGGATACATACCTGTCAGGCCAATCTTTGATTTTTGACCATGAAAGTCGTTTTGAAAAATCCGCCGACTATAGTTTTTAACACCTACCAGTGAACGAGACTTGTCGAACAGTGATATGTAGCACAGACTAATGAGTAAAGGCCCGCAAAGAGCGAGCTACGCGCCCGGTGAGAGGGCGGTCAGGGTAGGCATTTAGCTAGCGTAGCTCGCTCTTTGCGGGGTCTACGAATAAGGTGATGGTCACGTTTACTTGGAAGCAGATGACTTACACGTCTGGCGTTGAGCTTTTACTCTCAGCCCTCACGTCGCCCACTGAAAACTAAGTGCCGCGTTGTGACGCAAAAATTTTGGAGTATTTCTTACGTTACCAAATTTTAGTGACTTTGAACACCAAAATAGACAATGTGACCAAGGAGCAGAGGTCAAATGTTGCAACTGCGCATCATCCCCTACCATTTAGAACTCAAACTGAAAAAGCACGCAGTCCACCCTCCGGTTCCAAGACTAACGCAGTTCAGCCGCGCGCTCCGAAACTCGCCCAGTGCCTATTTCTAGAGCGATAAACTACGTGTATTTCGGAGCGTGCGTCTAAACTGCGATAGTCTTGGAACGGGCGGCTGAACTGCGTGCTTTTCAGAATGCGTGGCTGATTTGCATGTATTTCAGTCTAACAAGGGAAGGTTTTCCGGTGATACAGTTAGATTTCAAATTCAAAGGCACTTTAAAGTGTAGTTGTTAAGGTTTGTTTAGTTAAGGTTTCGCACTGGTTTTATGTGTCCGTATGGAGTTTCAAGGCCATTTTGCGCGAATAAAACGTGGAAATGTTTTATTTGTTGTTGTTGTTTTTTTTTTGTTGTTTTTTTTTTGGGGGGGGGGCTTGCATTTGCCGGATCTAACGCGTTTTCCCTGTCAGAGGACCAGTCTAAAGACAGTGCTTCTCTAAAATGGGCAAAACCAGTTATGTTAAGAAGCCTTTAGAACCAAAACCTTTTCGGCAAGAGCCCATGAACTGTAGGGACGCCACATACGGTAATGACTAATATTCGTCCGGAATTGAACGTATTATTAGCAGATGATACCTTAAAAACCTTTTGACTAAACATAAAGAATATATAAGTAACTTTAAGGTGTCAGCTTGCTTTTACTCTCAATAAGGAATGAGAACCAAGCGGAGACCAGAAAACAATTTATTTGGCGCTAGGGGAATCAGTGAGTGACTGTCCGAGTGTCGCGCTTCAGGCCCCTTCCTCTGCTCAACAATACTGCGTCAGGCAGGTCAGGGCAGGGGGAGAGGGGCCCTGTCCCTGTACAACAATACCAGACAATACTAAGCCACCGACGGCGGCCGCTCTACTCTGCCCCGCCCTTAGCTCATCAACGCCGCTAGTCCGCCGAATTACAAAATTGCAAGTAATAACAAGCAGTCATGAACAAATGACACGTAAAAATGAGAGAAATTTAGAAAACAGACCTATTCTCAAATTTGTATCATCTGCTTTCAAGATAGATTCTTGATTTAGATTTTTTTTTACTGTTGTTGGTTCATACTGAGCCATCGCTTTGCGAAGTCAGTGGTTTCGTGAGAGGTGCCCTAAAACCAGTAAAATAAGACAAGTTCCTCTAGAGATTGTTGAAAAATGAGTACATCACGCTTGACTGATTCTTCTCTCTGTCTCAAAAAAACGTGAATGAAAATTGACCTATTAGGAGGTCTCATAGACCCATCCTGATTATGCTGTGACATTTTTGACCTCATAAACGATGATAATGACATCACTTTTAAGGTAAACAGGCGATGGTAGAGTACGAACTCGGCCCATCCCCAAGTGGCTACAGCAACGGATACCAAGCAAACGTTGATCCAAGAACTGCAAACGACTTCACCGCAGCTGCATTCCGGATATTCCACTCTCTTATTCAGGACAATATATGGTACGTTTTTAACATTACGTAAAGAACATGCAATATTCAGGTATCAGTGGGGTTGAATTTGCTTCCAGGGCATGATCAGCGTTATATAAGTCTAGGTCGACGCATCCCAATGCTAAGCCGCCGGACACAGATTTTTTGCGTTATGGTGAAATATTATTCAGTATGACTCCCAAGCACCATACACAACTTGCAAACGTATGGAAAAAAATGTTTCAGCAAACCAACTCAAGGCTTTCAGCTTTTTCCATTTCGCAGTTTTTATCCAGAATTTCAAACTTAGCTGCATACTTCTTTTGGACCAAAGGAAAATGATATCTGAAGAAGTTTTTGATGCCGATTAAAGATGAGTGCTTGCACGGTAATTGTGGAGAAAAAAAGACGAGAGGAAAGTCCTGCCGAAAGGCCCTTCACCTAACCGGTGCAGTAAATGTATGTAACACAAAAATTGAGTTGATCCATGGAACATCTTTACTTTTTGAGCACTAACTGGCAATATCGGGGGTTTACAGACCGATGTTTCCCCTCTCATCCACCAGTGAAGGAACACATCGTTAGCGTTGGCAAGCGGCTTGTACGTCATGCATAGTGTGTGCCACGGGATACATACCTGTCAGGCCAACCTTTGATTTTTGACCATGAAAGTCGTTTTGAAAAATCCGCCGACTATAGTTTTTAACACCTACCAGTGAACGAGACTTGTCGAACAGTGATATGTAGCACAGACTAATGAGTAAAGGCCCGCAAAGAGCGAGCTACGCGCCCGGTGAGAGGGCGATCAGGGTAGGCATTTAGCTAGCGTAGCTCGCTCTTTGCGGGGTCTACGAATAAGGTGATGGGCCGTTGGGCAAATGCGGGACTTTCCTTTCGGCTCTCCTGATGGTAGGCACTTGTTAATAAATAATTGGCGAACCATACGTTTAAGTACATGCAAATAAACTTTCCCCCGATTACGGCAAGGTTTTAAAAACAAAGTATCAGTGCAGCTTCCATTTTAATCAGCATTAAAAACAGAAATCATTTGACTAAGGGGAAAAAGAACGTTTGGTTTTGATTTATGTTTAGTTATGCATAAGAACTGCAAAACGGCGAAAACTTAAATGTTTGAGATAGTTCAACTAATGTTTTCCATGCTTCAATGGTAAAACAAGTGTGCATAATTTAACACCCACGTGTGCAGTGCAAGTTATGATGTTGCACATTAGGTGGTGTTTGCCTTAAGTTGAACACATGCGTGGTGGGCACATTTTAAATGTAAACGTTTAATAAATTCTGTACACTTGGAAACACACGAATCTATAGGAACCATATGGTGTGCAGCTGCTATACTTTTCGGAAGTGTTTAAAGTTTAAACACCAACTGACATTTAACCTAGTTAAACACCACGAGGTGTTGAGAAAATGCACACTTGAACTGAAACATCAATTTTACATGCAACATTAAACACTTGTTTTTCCAGTGTTTTGCAAGTTGTCTGTGGTATTTGGTGGTCGTACTGAATAATATTTTACCATAACCCGAACAATCTGTGTGTGACGGCTTACACAGCGCTAGGTCGAGTCGACATGGAATATCCAGTTCATTGTTAAAAAAATTGTAGGATTTTTGTAAAGATTCACCCGTAAGTTTTAAAGGGATAATTCTGGGGATTTCGTATTCTACGTGTTATGTAGTTTTAACAGTTTTAAGACGTAGGTAGCCTCTGCACGTTTGGTCACCAGAGTCAAAACAAATGAAAAGTAACGTGAAAAATAAAAGTCTTGTTATAAGTATAGCATTCGACACGTCCGGTGAACAAAGGCGAATCTGCGGAGCGCCCGGTAGCAAAGGCGAATCTGTGTAGGATTCACAGCAAATATATTTCGGGGAAGTTCCCGGTTGAATCCGGGAAGTAATTTTCCGGATGCTATTTTTCGTCATATCTATGCATGTTATAACATTTGGAGCAACCGGAAAATGTACTTCCCGAATCCAACCGGGAAGTTCCCGGAAAAATGTTTGCTGTGATTTCTTATGGGGATTTGCCTTTGTTACCGGGCGCTCCGCAGATTCGCCTTTGTTCGCCGGACGCGTCGTATTGAACCTCGGGGTACTGTACTTCAATGGTGTTTTACAACTTAAGAATGTTGCTGATTAAAGAGCACCGTTGCCGCTGTTGTTTGAGACTAGTACTAGGTCTAGAGTGTTGTTACAATTCCCTTATGGTCCTTTGAACACTTTGCAGGCTAGATCGCAACGGCTCCACCTGGGGTGCACTAGTTGATGTTCGAGCGGACGTAGTTACATCAGGGGGACTACAAGGTGTGATAGAAGGTATGCTGTATCAGCCCAGTCAGGTACAGGACAGCCACATCACAAACCAGGTTAGTATCGTGATTATCATTAGGCGTAAGTCGGCGGCGATCGTTGACTCATTTTAATACAATTTCCGTCACATGCTAAATGTTAGTTGAACGACCTTAGAAACGTCTTCTAAAAAAATCTAGCCCAGTCACGCCAATTAGCCCATTCATTCCAATCCTTCCCCGTCATCCCAGTTTATTCCAATCACTATCTAATCAAATTCAGTCATTTTCGTTCATACAATAATCATGTCAATCTCATTTATTTATTAAAATGTTACTGACAATTAGGCTTCCCCAAATTGCTCCTTGCACTGTTATATTTCCACAAAGCGATGCTTTGCATAGTTGCATTAGATTTAGATTCTTTGTAAATATGAAGCATTTACTTTGCAATTAATACTTGTATTTGCAAGCGATGCTTTGCACCCCAGGGTAAAATTCCCATGGTGCCCATAGGAATGGATGCATCCTTCCTATGGGAAAAGGCACTTTTCCCATGTACAGCCCCGTCGCGCATGGGAAGTCCCCATAGCCAGCTCATGGGGATCACAACGTCCATAGGCAGGGACAACTTCCCATGGGTACCCTACCCATAGGGATTCTATACCCATGGGTAAATTGCCTATGGGCATGCTCTGACTATGGGAAACTTTCCACATGGGTAACTGTTCTATGGGAAGTCTCTCTTATGGGAAGTATTTCCCATTAAAGTTTAGAACACTGTCAAATCTATAGTTTTTGGAATATCGACTTGAAATTTGGTGTGCTCCATCTAGGGCAAATTTCAGTAGGGCCATTTCAATGTTTTTGAAATCTGAGCATATTTTTCTAACAACTTGAAAACGGCTCGACTTATGTTAAAGCGGACCGCGGATTTGGCTCCGCCTGGATTCTGACACCCTTAAACATGTATCGCGGCGGTAGAAGTCACTAGAGTCTTGCTTGTTCAGTCATTGATTTCAGGCTCACACTTACAGACAAGATTCCCATAGCCACATTCCCCATAAGAATATCTACCCATACGCAAGATTCCCATTGCCAATTTCCCATGGGGATGCCAGCCGTTCCTATGGGTTCATCATGGGTTCCCATGTGCCATAATTTCATGGGTTTGCATCCCCATGGGAATCTCATGGGGATGCCCATGCTGCCCATAGGAGAGTCTCTCCTATGGGAATCCTCATGGGAATTTTACCCCGGGACTATGTGAAGGCATTGTGACATAGTTTTTCAATTGCAAAACATCGCTTCGTACTTACAAAGCATCCAAATCATTCACAATTTTCCGCCTTTGTATATGTGTTAGGAGTATGATTATTTCTGTTTTAAATCCCTCCCCCCTTTCCTTTTGTAAACCTTGAATGATTCCGATAACTCTTCGCTCTCTAACCAACTTACAATCATTTCAATCGATTTCCAGTCGTTACCCTACCACCCCAATCAATGCAAGCAACGTCCAATCGCTCGCATCATTCTGATCATTGCTGTCATTTTCTGACGTCTACAGTCAACCAATCATGTCTAATCTTTTCAAGAAATTCAGCGTATGGACGAGGCTAATCAGAATTTTTCCTTGACAGATTAAGAATCGGATGTTCGCTCAAGGTAAACTCTACGGCACTGACGTGATATCGACTGATATTTACCGAGGGAGGGATCATGGACTCCCTACCTACAACGACTACCGAGAGTTTTGTGGTCTGCGTCGTGCCACAGATTGGGAAGATTTTTCTGACACCATCAGCCAAAAGGTGCATATGTGCCGATTTGTAGGATCTAATTGCGCTTTGTTTTATTTCGACCCTTGAAACATACAAACAAGCAGTTCGTGGTGGTTGCGTATAACCCCGTATTTCCAGGCAGCTCCGTATAGACACGTAGTTCAGTGTGTCGGCTTACAAGTGCTTACGACACTTTGAGATTAAAAGTTTACATTGCGCCTAATGGGCGGCTAGACTCATGACCAGAATAACTTTCAAACTAGCGAACATATCGGAGTGTATTTTTCGTTTTTCGTTTTCTTCCTCTGTTGTTTCTACTCGTTAGATACACTTCATAACTCGAAATGTTCAAACCACAGTAACGACGTTGTACTGCGACCTGCTAAACTTCGTGTTTATACAAGCCGCCACGGACTCCGCGTCTATATGTTTCAAAAGTCGAGTTTATAAGAAATCGTACCTCTGAAAACTCTTAATAACTCTGACTACATCTTGTAGTTTGTAACATTGGCGTGTTTCATATTCTGTATTGCTATGCTATTCTTTAACATATTATGGGGGTTTGTTGCAGGACATAAAAGTTTTGCAGAGTTTGTACGCATCTCATGACGATGTCGACTCGTACGTCGGCGCAGTTTTGGAGCAGCAGAAATCTAGTCTGCAGCCGGCGTCGATCACGTCGCCCACATTCCAGTGCATAGTGGCAGACCAATTTTACCGTACAAAGTTTGGCGACCCTTATTTCTTCGACTTCAACGGACCATCCAAACCCTTTACTCAAGGTATATTTTTTACTTTAAGAGCGCAAGAACCAACTTAGTTTTCGTTGTTACAGTTTAACTAAACAGTGTCCTGCACTGTGAAAAATACTTGTTGAAAAACAACTCATGTGCTAATGAATGTTGTAGATAAACAACAATGTTGCATGAAAACAGCAAAAGTTGGGCAAACCAGCATTTTGTTTTCAAAACAGCAATGCTGTTACCAATCAGCAATGTTGTTCCCAAACAATTTTCCTTCCTCAACAACATGGAGTCAATGAAAGAATTAACAGAGATTTGCAGTAAATCCGAGATGTTATTTCCAGGGGTGGAAAATCGGAATGAAATCATTGGTTTTACTCCTTTTTGTTCGGAACAAAACGTTTCCTTCTTTCGGTTTCGTTTCGTTCCGAACGGAACAAAACCGACAATTTTTGCAATAGTTTCATTCGGAACGGAACTAAACAAAAAGAACAAAACTTTCGTTCGGAATTATTCATTTGGCGAGAATAAATTCACTCCTTATTGGCCACGTGATAAGAGGATCAAAACGATTAGTTCCTGGTCACTTGCCGGCGAACAACAGCAAGGGAGGGGGCCTCAGTATGACGTTACAATACTCTACCCTCTTCCAAACACACACACGCCTACATGAACGCACGCACACACGCATACACGTGCGTGGGCAGATGCGTGCGTGTCGCGTGTGTGTGACGTGCGTGTGCAGATGCGTGCGTGTTGCGTGCGTATCGCATGCGTGTCACGTGCGTGCGCAGGTGCGTGCGTGTTGAGTCCGTGTCGCGCGCGTGTCACGTGCGTGCGCAGATGCGTGTCACGTGCGTGCGCAGATGCGTGTCACGTGCGTGCGCAGGTGCGTGCCATGTGCGTGCGCAGATGCGTGTCCCGTGCGTGTTGCGTGCGTCCGCAGATGCACGCACACGCACGCACAAACACACAAGCACGTAGAAGCACGGACGCAGAGTAGGGCGTTCCATTTTAAAATCGGTTTGCCAGAACGCAGGTAAAATGAAAGTATACGTTGTGGAGGTTACAACAATGCTAAGCGGAGGTGGCTGCGATGTCGGGAACCATGCGCAAGAACGAATTTTATGTCTTTGTCACTTTCGCGCCAATTTTCCCTCACGGTGGTTTTCAGCGTGCCCAGCGGCGGCCGCGCAGCCGAGGCCGGGGACCTGCCGTGCACGGACACCCTAGGGTAGGTACTTGAAGTTTGTCATGTCGCCGATACCACGCGGCATCACGTTACGGTGGGCGTAACGCTTAAGTGAAAATCAGTATTTTCGCTGCATCGGTGCACATATTCAGCAAATGGCGACCGGGTTTGTGCGAGAACGTAGCAAATATTCAGTGTTATGGATGGCCCAACGCTAATATATAACATTTACCAGCATCATAGGCAAAAGTCAAAAAAACACGTTTTGCAGGAATTCCGCCTGCCAACTAGGCAACCTGCCGTCTGCATGTGTGTACAGATGTTGCCTAGTCGACAGGCGGAATTGCCTCAAAACGTGTTTTTTTGACTTTTGCGTATGATGCCGGTAAATGTTATAGATTAGCGTTGGGCCATCCATAACACTGAATATTTGCTACGTTCTCGCACAAACCCGGTCGCCATTCGCTGAATATGTGCACCGCTGCAGCGAAAATACTAGTTTTCAGTAAAGCGTTACGCCCACCGTGACGTGATGCCGCACGGTATCGGCGACATGACAAACTTCAAGTACCTACCCTGGGGTGTCCGTGCACGGCAGGTCCCCGGCCTCGGCCGCGCGGCCGCGGCGGGGCACGCGAAAAACCACCGTGAGGGAAAATTGGCGCGAAAGTGACAAAGACATAAAATTCGTTCTTGCGCATGGTTCCCGACATCGCAGCCACCTCAGCTTAGCATTGTTGTAACCTCCACAACGTATACTTTCATTTTACCTGCGTTCTGGACAGATCGGTGTTCTCGACACCGAAAATGGAACGACCTAACGCAGAGGCACACACACGCGCGAATGCAACAGGTCATATTAGGCACCGATACGTTTTGTTCTTCCAATGACGTCACCAAAAGAAAGGAACTATGTTTTACTCTTACGAACAAAAATGATCGAATCGAAACGCAGTTTTACTCTTGGGAGTTTTTCTCAGTTTTGTTCGCTGAGGTTTTGTTCTTTGTTTAGTTCCGTTCCTTTTCGTTTTGTTCCTTGGAATAGTTTCGATGGAACGGAACTATGCAGTGTCGCTCCGTTTCGATTAATTGAATTCCGATTTTCCAGCCCTGGTTATTTCTTTTTTTCTCATTTTTGGCCTTTATTGCCTGCCAAATGTAACGGGAGATGGAGTAGAGACGTGATTTTTTGATCCAAAATAGAGACATGTGACCTTAATTCGGGTCTGTAAAAAGGAGTAGGCCACCAAACTGTAACAAAATGTATACAATCATTCCTTGCCTTATGGCTGGTTAGGTATTCGCGAACATGTTTTTAACTGTGTTCCGACGGAGAACGACCCTTGAAAATTAAGAGGTCGGATCTCGCTGGGGTAGGGAGAAAGGGTCGTAAGTGCTTCTTTTGGTCGATTTTGTGAGATGTATACCATCGAGAAGGAAATTTTGTCCTGATTTTAATAATATGCATCTCGCAAAATCGCAAAAAATGCACATACGATCTTTTATCCCGACCCTAGCGAGATCCAACCTTATAGCTGGGCTCTCTGAGATCCGATTTTTTAATTTTCAAGGGTCGAGAAGGGTCTTTATTATACTAGTTTTCTTGTTGGAAAAAATTACGATAGCAATACTTGCTAACTGCAAAATGAACCCAGGGTTAAGGAAATTTCGTCGCCTTTGTTTAATGTTTCGAATGTTGTTAATGCGTCTTTTTGCGTAATATCTTGGTGTATTATGGACCTTTAGTTTTATAACTGTACACTCTTTTTGGATTGGCCAGCGCGCGCGTGTAGCGGTACTCGGAGGGCGAGGTGTTCATTGTTGGGCTGTTACCCAGACGCGGCTTGAAAATGCAACAACGACCGCAACGGGTTTGTTTAAAATTTGAAGGATTTTCCACTCTGTGAGAACGATTGTGTTATGGTTTAAACCTGGCGAGTGGGTCACCACTGGGAACACTAATGTGACATGTGTCACATAATTATAATAGCCTTAGAGTGTCGCATTGTCGCATGCGTGGTGTGACCGTACTTTTGGTCGGATCACACCTCTATGTTCTTCCTACACCTTCCTGGCTGATGTTGCATCAATTAGTGTGACCTAAACTCAGGTCACAGTACATGGTCTGACTAAAGCTCAACACACCAATCGGCGTGACACGTGACACACTATTTTTGCCATAGTGACACACCGCACCCTGACCGATGGGAGGCACTTTAAAAGATAAGAAAAGAAAAGGCCACTAACGTAAGACACAAAATTATATACCGATTTCTGGACCACATATGAAACTATGGGCGGTTGAATCCGAATTAGGGATCGATCCAAAAGAGGTTCAAACGCTCAAGCATGCGTAAACCTTTTAAAGTAGACCAGGCATCTAACTGTTTGAGTTCATTTCCTGAACCGGTCGACTAAAAGCTGGAAACTTTATGAGTTCGGATTTATTTTGAATATTTCTTTTTTTTCAGCTCAATTGCAGCAGATACATCAGCGATCTGCTTCCAAACTACTGTGCGACAATATTCCAGGATTAAAGAGCGTCCCTCGTTTTGCGTTCGTTATGCTTGGAGTGAATGAGTAAGTATTAGATATGTCTGACTGGAAGAGAGACAAAAAGCACGCATAGTAAAATACTGACGAACTCAGTGCTCCGCATCGTTACGGTCAATTTTCTTTCTTTGAATTGCAATGAGATTATTGCTTTCATTGGAAGGATATTCTACGTAAAAGTAGGAAGGTTCGCCGATAAACTAAATGTGCAACTACATCACACTTTCCACAGTGAGCGTCTAATAGGCCATTCCCAGTTTTGGGTTTCAGCTTGGCAAGTGCCGAGGTTTCAAAGATAGATTTGACCTTGTAATGAAGGTAGGTACAAACATAGACGCGATCGGACATTTTTATTTTATATTTTTTATATTTTTATTTTTCGTCGCGCATCGCCGATTTTCGTTTTGGGAGCCCAAACGGCCTTTTACTCACTGCCATTTTGAAGGCAGTGTAGTGCCGGCTTCGTGCGGCCGGAGATGGCCCCTTCGGCGCCTTGCAGCTCATGTGTGACCCTAAGGACCCCGCTTTTGGACAAAGGAGAAATATCGACAATTCCACATAGGGGGTTGGGCACTGGATTTTACAGCAGAATCCTTACGGGCACACATGAGCCGCAAGGTGCCTTCTCTGGCCGCACCAAGCCAGCGCTGCACTGCCTCTAACATGGCGGTTGGCGGTGCGTAAAAGGCTGTTTGGGCTCCCGAAACGAAAATCGCGATGTGCGACGGGAAAACGTTGTCCGATCGCGTCCATATACCTACCTTCATTACAAGGTCAAATCTATCATTTAAAGTACCAGCCTCATTTTTTGGGGGAATGGCCTAGCCTCAAATGTAAGGAAGTGCACTGCTACCAAGTTGCACATTTGTTTGCAAGTGTACTACTACGGAGTTGAGCCCATTGCAAGTATTATACTTGCAGCTGTGCATACTTGGCAGTGTTCGTACGAACGATGTGGAGCTAATGAGTATTTTTTACTTTAAATTTTTTACAAAGATATTTTTGTGTAATGGACAAACGGAATTCTGTGCAAACGTAATACACGAAATTTCCTTGCAATACAGGAAATTGCCTTTCATTCAAAAAAAAATATCCTTTGAACTAGAAGGATTTTTCTTTTTATTACGAAGAAAATTTGGCGTTGTATTAGGGTTGCATCGAATTCTTCAGAATTCTTTGTATTACAAGAATTTTCTTTGTAGGGATTTAAGAGTGTTGACCGAAGTTGACGATAAAAGTACTGAGTTTTATACAAGGAAGTCCTTAATCACAAGTTGGAGAGGAGCTCATTAGTTTTAACGTAACACAAAGAAATAGAAGTAAACATTCTAACGCATCGTTTCCATCCACAGGAACAAGGAAGTGAAATGTGCGGAGCTACCCATTCTCGACCTGTCTCACTGGGGTGATGACTTCTCTTTTGATAATTCGTAGTTATAAAGTGCAGCGAAGACACCTCAACTGATGGCTACTTAAATAAACTTCTCCCATAAACGCCTTGAAAGCCGTCCGACCTGTAAACCATAACCGAAATATCCATCCTCACTCCAAGGACCGCGCATAGGGCATAAATCTCATATATTATTTATAAATGTTTTTATTTTATTGTTACTATAATATTTAATTGTAATTGTCGTAATATTTACAGTATACGTAAGAACCGATGTAAGTTCATAAAGATGTATGAGTTTATTTGTTCAAATGCAGTTCAAAAAGCTTGCGATAGCAAAGAATAGCAAAGAATTTTGAAGCGTTGTAAAATGCTTTCGACTGCGGACTAAATCGTTCACATTGCGAACTAGTTCTTCGCACCTTACGAAGATATTTGTTCGTACCCCCGCAAAGAATTAGTCCGTAACCCTGCGAAGTATCTCTTCGCAACTTACGAGAAAGAAACTAATTTGCAATGGAAAGAATTTTCTCTGTAAATTTAACTAACAACTTGACAGTTTAAACTGCAAAACTTGAAGTTTTTGCAGTTTGCTGTTTAAACTGCAAAACTAAAAGTTCTACAGTTTAAACTGCAAAACTGTGTAGTTCAACAGTTAAAACTGCAAAACTGTGTAGTTCAACAGTTTAAACTGCACAACTGCATAGGGCTAGTTTGACAGTTCACACTTTTAGTTTTGCAGTTTAAACTGTCAAGTTGTTATACAGTTAGATTTGCAGAGTAGTGTGCAATGCAAACCTCTTTACAACGCTTCAAAATTGTTTGCTAGATTTGTGCATTGTGGACACTTAATTACATGAATCAAATGCTGCTGAATTTCTACGTCGCGAGTAATCTGCTTCTCGCAAAGGTGTGGCAATATTTGATTAACGTCTATAAGCGGAATCACTCAGGAAAAATATATCGACGCCTTGTAAGCGCAGGTCAGTAATCTTAAAAGATTGGAGCCAATTGTAGCAAGTGTAGTGCTGCTAATAGTACGTATTGTGTTTTGACGCAAAGCCAGATATAATTTTCAAATAAGATTTCAAGCAGCGTAATAACTTTCAATGCTAGGGAACTGTTACAAAGCCGAAGTCATATCGACTTCGGCTTCGTATGTTATTGCATTCTTTAAGCCTACCTTTCTTGTATGCTGTCGTTGGCACTACTGTACCGATGTCAAAGGGGTCAAAGCGGTGAAAAGTCACGTGGTAAAAACAATAAAGCTTCTTAATCAATCAAGTGTAGGTCGATGTGGCAGTAACCACCTCGTAATTCTGGGGTAAGGGGCCCAGTAGTCGACAGTACACCAGTAGTCATCACTTTCAACTTTTCGTCCGATTTCCCGCGCATTGGTTAACGTTCAAAATCGTTAAGGGGGCACACCTGTGAAATACAAGGGTTAGGGAGATATTTTATTTTTAAAATACGACGAATCGCAACAATATAAACGAAAGACCCTTTTCATAAGAATGAATAGGGCTACACTTTACCGTATGCACATACAGTGCACACCTCCGGTAACCCGGTCTTCTAGGCCTCGAAGTGGACGGTTGCACCTCGTCGTGGCGTGCACAATTTGAACCGAACGGATGGACCTGCGACAACGACAAAGAAAGTTATTTACTCTTAAAAGATGCGGCTATCGCATGACGAGAGCAATTTTAAAATTTTCAATTTTCAAGATTTTAAAAAAAATGTCAAAGTTTCGGTTAAAAAAATCGGGTCAAAATTTGAACTCATGTTGCCTATTTTCGGTACCTTAGAAGTGAAATGTCGAAAAACGTTCTCGTTGAAACAGTTCGTACTGTTCGGTCAAGGTTGGATGCAGCATCATCACCACCACCACTGTGGATAGATTCTCCACCACTGGAGTTGGAGATTCCACCACTGGAGTTGCGGCCTCTTCTTATTCTGCTTAGATTATCATCATCACCCTCCCCAGGTGCCTCGCTCTCATCGGAGTCTGTGTCAAAATCTGAAGATGTATTTTCACGTACTGGAAGTTGAGATGGTGGGAGAGCTGACTTAAGTCTTGATTGAAGAGATGTGGGTGTCTTGTCCGGAAGTTCACTACCACCATCCGTCTCCACCCCTGTGGCCTCTCCATTATCAATGTATTTGCAAAGCTTTGCCTCACAAACATTTCTCTTTCCTGAGA